AAGGTAAAAAAGAAGAAAATGTTAAATACTGGAAGTAACAGTTACCTACAAGGGAGTTCCCATAAGGCCGTTAGCTGATTTCTAAGCAGAAATTTCAGGCCACATTAAATTTGGGATTTTTGAAAGAGGTTTTTGAGGTCAGTGTTTGATTTTTGGTTTAACTATAAGCAGTTTTCCTGGCTCTCTTTTTGAGATTCTCTGCATTTTCCCACAGGCATAATCTCTGTGCTATGTCTCTAGAGCTGCAGTAAAGACAGTGGCATCGTTCTTTTAGAATGAAAAGGTGCTGAATCAGTGGGCAGATGAGCAGCAGCATTATTTTAGCTTGTCTCTCTCTGTGTGAAACTATCATCATAAGGGCTGGGTCTAGGAAAATTGTGGCCATGTATTTTAAACAACTTGACACCCAACTTAGTGTCCTTGTCCCTATTTAGTGGTTGAGTGTAAGAGTGAGCCACTGCATTCTTTACTGCATTCACCATGAACTTAGCATCAGAAACAGGGTATACCATTTTCCCCTGCAACGGACCCCCTCCACTTCACTTCCACCCCTTCCCCAGGCCTTCACCCCATTATTGACTGTGTCCATGGGTTATGCACATATGCATATAATTTCTTTGGCTAATCTCTTCCCACCCTTCACCCCCTCTTTCCTCTGAAATATGATCGTCTGTTGCATGTGTCAATGGCTCTGGATCTATTTAGTTCACCAGATTCTTTTCTCCATTAGCTTCTTAAAGAAGAGCCTTCAACATTTCATGTAATGCTGGTCTGGTGGTGGTGAACTCCTTTAGCTTTTTCTTATCTGTGAAGCTCTTTATCTGACCTTCAATTCTAAATGATAGCTTTGCTGGGTAAAGCAATCTTGATTGTAGTTCCATGTTTCTCATCACTTTGAATATTTCTTGCCACTCCCTTCTGGCCTGCAAGGTTTCTGTTGAGAAGTCAGCTGACAGTCATATGGGTGCTCCCCTGTAGGTAACTAACTGCTTTTCTCTTGCTGCTTTTAACATTCTCTTTGTCTTTAAACTTTGGCATTTTAATTATGATGTGTCTTGCTGTGGGCCTCTTTGGGTTCCTCTTGTTTGGAACCCTGTGTGCTTCCTGGACTTGAAAGTCTATTTCTTTCTGTAACTATTTTTTCAAACAGGTTTTCAATTCCTTGGTCTCTTTCTGCCTCTTCTGCCAATAATATGAATGTTGGGCCTCTTGAAGTTGTCCCAGAGGCTCCTTATACTATTTTCATATTTCTGGATTCTTTCTGCTCTTCTGGTTGGGTGTTTTTTGTTCCCTCATGTTCTAAATTGCTCATTTGATTCTCAGCGTCCTCTACTCTACTGTTGATTCCCTGTAAATTATTCTTCATTTCAGTTCCTATAGCCTTCAATTTCAAATTGGTACTTTATTATGTTATCGATTTTCTCAGTTATTTCCCTAACCATTTGCTTAAACATCCTTATAACCAAAATTCTGAACTCTCTGTTAGCTTGCTTGGATCTATTTCATTTAGTTCCTCTTCTAGAGATTTCTTCTGTTCTTTCCTTTGTGACATGTTTCTTTGCCTCCACATTTTGGCTGCTTCCAGGTGTTTGTTTCTATGTATTAGGTAGAGCTGCTATGTCTCCTGGAATTTGTAGAGTGGCTTTGTGTAGTAG